CCACTACAAAGCATAGCAATGATATTATGGCTTCATGACGAGTATTGCCAGTGACTAAGTTCTCCTCTCTCCCCTAATCTCCTGTTGTTCTTATTAAAAAATGTTTAGCCTCGTTGCTGTATCAAAGCCCTCTGCTGCATCTTGCTTCAATGGGACAAATAACAAAAGAAAATTTAGATTTATTTTTGTTTATTACATTTTTTTTTTTAAAAAGGTCAAATAAATCTACATTCCTACTATGTTGCCAGAATCCTGTAGTACCCCAGAGGCCCCAAAATGGAAAACACAGGTCATCACGTCGGCGTCTTCTAACACGGCTTCCTCTGTGATCATACATATTCTGCATGCCTATGTTTATGAACAGGTACAACAACAATATCCTGCTACAACAGAGTGACATTAGCACATACCTTTACCTCATTAGCAGCATTACAGGCGTAGCTACAGACTGCAATATCAGACCCTGTGGGTCTGTGCATCACACTTTCGGTTCTGCGCTACCTTTTAAGCAACCTTTATATCTTCGTCTTCTACAAAACTCTTGTTTCAGGGAACCAGCTCTCTCTTTGACCCCTTTGTCACGTTGACGGATAACCCCCACCGGATCGTTAATAACGAGGCTTGGCAAGGACGTTGCTGACAGTAGATAGGGATTAGGACATTAGGAGTGTGTGTTAGGAAGAATAGGCCTTTGTCTTCTCATCAGGTCGGGGGTGGAAATGGGGCGACCATAGCGAGAGGAAATTGGGATTTGGGGTATATTTCTGCATTCTAGTGAAGACTGTAGATCTTACTCTAATGCACATACCATTGGTATTGCTCCTTTAATGCATAGAGTCCCAGAAGAGAAGGGGGCTCTTTAACGGGAGTGTGCACTCTGTAGTGTGCAGCTTTATCCTCACTGTGACTTTGCGTGGTACCCTTCTGTAGGCTCTCCTAAATTATGTAAGTGCACAGTGACCCCCCCCCCCTCCTCCCCCCACACACACACACACCAGTTTTCTTCCCCCTCTTGTAACCTTCATTGCCCCTCAGTGTAGGCCTTCAGCTCTGAAGATAAGGGCTCTTGACGCTTGGCCTACCGGGATTTAATTGCTGAAGCCCACTTCACCCTCGAAAAAGCCCGGCCTCATCTCCCTCTCCACCCCATTGCCCCTGCTGACAGAAACCTGCTTTTGTCGCCTGCTTTTCTTTTTCCTACTCACCTTCAAAAGAAAGAAAAAGCAGGATGAGAATCGAGCTGAGGGAGAAGGGAAAATGCTTTTCTTCCTTTCGCCCCTTCTTATTGCCTCTTTTCTTTTCAGGGGGCTGTATTTCACTCAGGGTTGCGCAAAGAGGTTCCCATGCTTCTTTCTTTATTTTCCCCTTACCAGTACTGCCCCTGGGGGGAATCCACGTACTCATCAGCCAACACGTTTTATGTGTTAAGAAAACAAATATGCAGTACGAAGAAATGTTGGTTAACAGATCTAGTCATGAAGATGTTCAGCCACACAATCAGCGCCATCATTTATCCTCTCCGTCGTCTGTTTATAAACCCCCAAAGACTCCCGGTTAATCTCTGAATGCCAAGCCAGTGAAACAGACAGCCCGACTTTTTCAAACTCAGCTGCTGCCGGTCTCAGGAATGTCTCAACCAACACGCAGGGGAGCAAAAAGGAAATTACAACTCGAGTAAGGAGGAGGAGGAGGAAGGTAAGAAGGGAGAGGGTGCATTCCTCCATATGTAGGATGACCAGCCTGGCTTTCTGCTATCTCTCTCTCGCTCTCTCCAGGCCCTCCACCTGCACAGACCTCAAGACACTAAAGCCACACAGCCGGGAGTCGCTCAGCGCGACGGTACACTGTAGATGCGAACCGGGGTGACGCCACTATTGTGCCTTATCTCACCCACTGATAAAACCTGCACAAGTCACTCTTATCCAGAAAGAAAGAAAGCAGGAGACTAGCAAGCTTTGGTTTATCTGTGATCTGGCAGCGTTCACTGACTGAACCCCTCCCCACCCACGCCCCCCCGCTGGGTTATCACATGCGCTCGGCCCACTTTGGAATGAGGCACACTCAAATAAACAATATGCCCCAGGGAGCCACGTTAAAATCCCCACGTTGAGTTTCTAAGAAAAATACTCTCGTTTTTTGTTGTTTTTTATCTTGCTCTACACTCATGGCCGCCTTGATGTTGTTGTATGGTCTGGCACCGAACCCATCTGGCCCGGATATAACGTATCAAAGTCAAGTTTCTCCATCTCCGGAAGGAATGAGATTGGATTATTTTGGACAACTTCAGTCCCATACGATTCTTCTCTCGGACAAACAGCAAAGTGCTCTCCGTGTTTGTTCTGAACTGACAGCCGTTAACATAAAGTACGCGAAGACCCTCTTACACTTCAACTTTTCATCTCCTGTTTATCTTCACGAATCCTTTTGTTTTCCCTGGTTCTGTACACACATGCAGCACTGCGTCCACACACTCTATTGTCATCATTTCTTAACTCTGAGACCAGCCTTTTTCTGCGGGACACATTTTAAAAGGTTTTGGCTCCAAATTGGTCCTTCTAAAGGTTCTAGCTTTAAACATTTGCTTCCGGGTTTTCCTGGGTTCTTTCTAAAGATTCAAGGTTCCGCAAAGAACCCTTTGAAAGCGTTAAAAGTGTTAAAAAGTAAAGCTCACAGCCCCAAAAAGCATTGGTTATGGACTATGGTTTTGGGTTGTGTTCCATCACATCAAACACGGCCCTTTAGAAGCATGGGTTTCATTTGAAACCCCTGAATAGAAAATATGAACTCCAAGTAAAAAAAAACCTGCGTGGGTTTATATTGTGCTTAAAAAGTAGAAAGGACAACTCTGAGGGGGTTTTCATTTGAGCCTCTCATAAGAGGTTCAGGGTGAAACCTCACAGATGGTTTTAGCTTTCAGCGTTTGTTTGCTTTAAAATAGGCTCCATTAGGAACCCAAAAGCGTTCTCTTGGGGTGACAAGTCAAAACCCCCTATATGGCTCTAGAAAATACGTTTATTGAGTGGAAGAACACATTACTAATGATTACTACAATTAAAATGTTCCTACTTTGGACTTCTCCCCAGCTGACGAGGCAAACATTCTTCACATTTCTGTCAGTGAATATCGCCACGTCCTGTGTGTAAATTATGGGATAACTGCAACCCTTTAACCTTTACCGTTTACCGACAGCAAGCTGTGGCCGTCAGACTTTCCAGAAACGAGTGCAACAATGTTTCTGCACCACTGCCAAAGTTCAGGTAGTTTTTCGGTGCTGATAGAAAACTGGTTGGATTTGTTCAATCAAGCCTTAATATTTGAGTGGGGTGATGTTATTGATGCCTGGCTGCACAGAATAATATTTCTGGCCCGTCAAAAAGAGTTATCTGAATAATAAGGGTGACGTGTTAGCAGTGGGCTTCAGGGGAATACTATGGTTGCTTTTAGTTAGGAGAAGGAAAAATAAGACATCAGGGAATATTTCCAAGGAGGCAGAAATGTCAAGGAGGAAAGAAAAGTGTGCCAAAAGAGAAAGAAAATAAATGCCATAGCTGTGGTGTGATGAGAGGATACCTCAACCCCCCCACCCCCGAGGATGAAAAAAGAAAAAACTTTATCTCCTCTCCAAGTTCTGACATTTGAGGCAGTGATTCTTTGGAAAGGAAAATGTCTCATATCTCAACAGACTGAGTGAAAGGAAAGCGCAGCAAATTTGTAAAAGGATCATTTAAATTTGATGAATATATATGTACACAAAAGGTAATTAAGCAAAATAACTCAAAATTATGCCTGAAACTATTACTTAAAGCAGTGCGAGAACAGAATGTTCCCTGTTAACTGTAAGTCACACATACAAGTCTTTTCATTCAGGTATTTGCGTGGTGAAGAAATCAGCGACTGCACCATTCAAGGACCTGGAATAGTCAACCAACATTGGGGCATCATAAATGTTCACAAAGACTTTAGAACTTTTCACTCCCCATACCTCCAATCAATGATCTTATATGAGTATGAGCTAAACAAAAGTAATAGCAGGACGCAAATGGATTATTGGATGTATTTGTGTGCCTCTGGTTTTAGGATTGGGGACAAAGAAGTGCTTTCTAAAAAGAAAAAGAAAAGAAGAAAAATGGTTAACAGAACGAGATGTTGCTTCTTCCCCCCCAAGGCCATCTCATTCGATAGCAGAAGATGATAAACTACCATGTAGACTCTTGTCGGCAACTACCTTCTTTATCTCCCCTCATTCCTCTGTCCTTCATCGGCTCCCTCTTTTGCAAATACTGAGTTGTTGACGCTCTCCCAGGCTTAGTTTTGGGAGGCTTTGGCTCAAGTGAAATGGGCCTAAATCACAGGAACATATCTTCTGATTACCTACAGTACTCTTTGCAGCTTCTGTATATTTTCATCCTGAATCACAGAACCGGCAGCACTGGCCATCAGTTTACACAATGACAACATAAAAAGCGTGTTTTCTTTTATATAGCGTCTACGGTCAGAGAATCAGCCTCTCCGGGAGCGTCACTGCACGTTTAGTATGCAACAAAGTAAATCATTCACAGATGCGTGGCAGCGTGCTGCATGGCAAACATACGGCCCAAAAAAGCTGACATTGAATGGTTATTCAAAACTGTAGGGAAAAGAGCACTGGTGGCTTAGAAATATACATTTTAACACCACTACATTCTGAATATATGCACGTTTACATGTGGCTGAGGTCGTAAACACAAGCATAGCAATCTGTAAAACCATTAGAAACAATGGCTTTGCCATGCCACAATACTTATCCATTACACAAATATTCCAGGAAGAATGTGGCACTCCCTTAGCCAGAAAAGCGTGGCAAGAAACCACCATGTCAACTCCCTCTGAAGCCTGATGTCACAACTACAGCCTTATTGTTTGTATATTATTTATCCTGTTTACAATATATCAGTATTTCATGTTTATTTCTCTGGATGATTATGTAGGTAACTGACAGATTGTATGTTGTCTTGTTACAGGAGAACGGAGAGAGGAAGAGACTGCACCATGAAGGTCTTTCGCACTCCATTGATGCCTTTTCTGCTCTTCCTCATTCTTCCTGATGCCACCTGGTCCAGTGAGTGCCCAGACGACTGCTACTGTACCCCACCAGGCTCCATCTTCTGTTTCCAGAGACGCTCCTCTACTATTCCAAAGGGAGTAGCCCCATCCACAGAAAGTCTTTATCTCTTTTCTAATGGCATTGAGGGCTTGACAACTGAGGACTTTGAAGGCATGGAAAAGCTAGAGATGCTGGACCTCAGTCAAAACAAATTGACTGAACTTGCTGATAGGGTATTTGAACCTTTGACCTCTTTGAGAAATCTTGACTTGTCTTCCAACCAGATAACCCACATTTCAGAAGACTGCTTCCAGGGTATGGAACTGCTTGAACGCCTTTATTTGTCCAATAATCATATCGAGACCATCCATCCTATTGCCTTTATTGGCTTGGAGCACCTGCTGGAACTCAAACTGCAGGGCAACCAGCTGACATCCCTGCCAGCTCTCTCAATGCCACAACTACTGCTGCTGGACCTTCGTTTTAATGTCTTACCCATCTTGGGTCCTTCAGATCTCCAGACCCCAAACCTTGAGTCGCTCAAATTGGGTGGCGTGGGGCTCATCAGCCTGAATAAGGAGCTCATACGTAGTCTAAAGAACCTCCACGAACTGGACATCTCAGGCAACAAACTTGAGTCCTTCCCCTCAGCGCTAAAGGAGACCCAAGGTCTGATTCACCTCAACATGGCTGGGAACCCGATGGGCCCTCTTAAGGTTCAGGACCTGCAGAACATTGGAGAGCTGCAGGAGTTGGACATTAGCAGCCTCAGTTTGCAGGGCCTTCCTGAAGAGTTCTCACAGCTATTACCACATCTCAAAAAGCTCACAGTTGCAGAGAACCCCTTCAACTGTCTCTGCACCTTAGCATGGTTCCCAAGATGGCTAAAAGCCCAGAGCATCACCCTGGAGAGAACAGAGGAGACACGCTGTCATTTTCCACCTATCAATGCTGGAAAGGTATTGGAGAGACTAGAGCACAGGGATTTGGGCTGTCCTACCACTACTACAGTCACCCCCAGTACTGTCAGAACCACCACAACCCCGCCTGTTCCTGTCACTACCTTCTTGGTTATTACTAGAGATATTCCAATCCTTAGGAGCGGTAACAAACCAGACAAAGATGACTCTCCCTTACCCCCTGCCCTTGCATCCCCCAGTAGCAGCAGTATGGACCAAGGCGAGGAGCACCCTTTCTGTCCCCCTGATACCTGTCTGAACGGGGCTACATGTCATTTGGACCAGCATGGTCAGGTGGAATGTACCTGTCCACATGGCACCTCAGGCATGTATTGTGAGGTCCAAAACCATCACCCGCCTTCACCGCCTGAAGCTGAAGTCCCCATGGCAACTGTCAGTGTAGATGCACCAGACATCAGCTCACATCAAGCAACCACGACTTCAATCCTGCTGGACCTCCACCGCTACATTGAAATGCGTCCTTACATCCGTGGAATCCGCCTAACCTACCGTAACCTCTCTGGACCAGACCGTAGGCCGATCCAACTAAACCTACCACCCAAATTTCCAGAGTATATCCTCAGGGGTCTGCAGCCCAACTCCACTTACAGGGTGTGTGCCAGTCCACTAGGTGCCCCTAGTGGCACGGACAGCGTCTGCACTGAAGCGCATACGGTTCCTGAAAGCAAACGCAGTCCACAGATTGACGACCAGAGGCTGACAACTACACTGGTGCCGGCAATCGCTATCTTGCTACTGCTGGTACTAATAGCAATGGCAGTGGGAGTGGTATGCTATCTTCGCAGGAAAAGGGCCAATGGCCAACTGGACCTAGAATGTGAGCCCTCCCAGCTTGAGTTGGATGGGGTGAAGGCTGGTTTGGACAATGGGGCACTGCCTCAGAAACAACCCCAGCTCATGATCCCTGAACCTGCTGTTCAGAATGGCAATCTGGAGTACGAGGTGTTGTTACTACAGGATCACTGTACATCAAATAACAATATGACTTCACACAAGCCCTCCTACTTTTGACACCTGGCTTTGACTAATCAGACGTAAAGGAGGAAGTCTTCAGCTCTGTTTTCAATACAGAAGGCGCCAAATGCAGTTGTGAAAGTGGAGGTCACCAAAAGAGAAACTGGACATGTATTGAACTCAATGCCCTCTTGTTGTCTTAAGTAGACTGAAGTAGAAGTTCAAAAACATTGGTTTGGATTTCCTCACAGTGCTGGAATGGCAAGCTGTCAGCTCCCATGCCGTGGTGCTGGGACTTAAAGGACATGGTAACCTCAGGGCCTCATTTTTCTGGTCAGAAAGTGGGTGCACTGAAATGGGGTTGTGCTCCCATTGTCCCATCACGACAGTCCAACTACACTATATCAGCAAATGCTTTTGCTGCATATTGTAACTGCTCGGGACTACCCCAAAGGGATCTGTGCTTGCTGTGAATTACCTTTAAGACACCAAATGAAGTTATGCAGAGAAAATAACTGATGTTTGTATTCTTTATTTGGCTTCAAAACGCTTTTTGTTTTTGTACATTGTTTTATACCAGTGTCTTTGTTATTTTGTATTATTGTGCAACATTATGACCTTTTATAGACCCCCCTCACCCACATACACACTCGCACACACTTCTTGTAACTAACAGACAAAACAGCAGATTAAAATCTTTGAAGATTAAAACTCGTTTTTTTCCAGCAAAGTCAATCAAAGGGCTTTACCCCCAGAATGTCAGACAGCCTAAGTACATGTGAGTCCGAGTCAAGACAAAATCCCCCTTTCTGAAGCGCTCAGTCTGCTTTGCCACCACAAAGGGAGAAGGTAAGCAGGATTACAAAGAAACAGAGGGAAGCATTTTAATTAACCCCTCCTGTTTCAGTGCTGCACTAGATTCCACACAGTCTTTTAGCTTACCCTAATTACAGTATGGTCTCAAATCACTACACAGCTAAATACTTTATTTATTATTTATATTTTCTGTATGGGAAATACAGTTGTATCCCTTAACCACAATTCATGTACAACGACAAGCAAAGCAAACAATGGTTTTGTATTATGTTTCCCTTGATTAAAAATAGTATTTTTGTTCTACCTTTTGCTCACTTCCACCTAACAGGACTAACGTCTTTATGATGATGTGGAGAGGACAATGAGACATGCAAACTGACAGTGTTGAGATCCAAATCTGGGAATGTAGAGCAAAAAAGGACTCAACGTAATCATTTGTGTGTGTGTGTGAGTGTGTGTAGTACGTGTTCTGTCTTGTACAAAGACCTGCAGACATCACGTTACCATCGGTTACCCTCTCTATCTTCCCGCATGTCAAGGAGTACTTTAGGCCCCAAACAACTCTACCTAATAGGCAAACACACCAAGGACCATCTGTGAAGTTACCTACAGTGTTCCCAGTGCGCAGTTAACAGTTCCCTGCTAGTAATACGTCAATACAACCCACCCACACAAACACACGCAACTGGAATAATTGTTTGTCAAAGAGAATACATTGAAGGTAACCCAAATTATTTTCAATGTGATTGTTAATTTTTCCCTGTTTACTTTGGGAACCTTTTTGTTGTCATTCTTTTTTTTTATTTTGTGAACTTATCCGTAAAAGCTGAAAGAGTGATATTATCATTAAATGAGTATCCAAAAACTAAATGGGTCGACTTGTCTTTTTCGTAGTTTGCACCTTTTGCTTGTAAGAGGAAGGATTAGATTGACAGGCAACCGGGTGGGGGGGATTATGTTTGCCATTAACTTGCCTTTCCTTTTGAGCCATCACTCAACGGTGCGATGGGGAGAGATCACAGGAGGGGGGACTCCAAGAAAAAGAAAGAGAAGGGAACAAAGGTGCAAGTGGAGGTGTAATTATGCTCGATATCAGCCAAACATTAGAGAGTTTGTGTGCGTCTGTGTGTACGCGCGCTAGTGTATTGTTTTTGTTGAGTTAAAGGCTAATGTTGGCACCATAACGCACTCACAGTGACAGGGGGGACGTCACAGTGACCCCATCCACTTTTTGTAGACCACTATTATTCTGTGTGTTGATATTTGATAATTAGCAAAAAGTGCAAGCAGTTATTGTTTTTTCAGTCATTTGGTCAAAATCTAAAGAGCTAGCAAGTATAAATATTGTTAAATTCCTTCATCAGACAATTGCAAAGGAGATGATTAATAATTACCATGGTCTATAAAAGTATTTTATTCTCTATGCTACATTCAACAGTCCACCGCCATCCCAAATGTGTTTTTTACAAGGCTGTTTAACATATTTTCAATGGACAATAAGTCCTGGAAAAACCCATACCAGCAATGAGCTGGAGGCAAAATGGAAATAAATATCGTGATTGAAAAACACCGTTGTTAATGTTGTAATTGTATTTAACCATTGGAAATGCCTCGCTAATCTAAGCCTAATGAGTGAGCATTGTTTGCAAACCCACACAATAAACAGGCTGACCACCCATGCATTTTATAGAAAGGATGGAGGTAAGGGTTGGATGCAACAACACAAACCTATAAAACAACACCACTCCTGTCACGGAGGCCTTATGATATCAATTTGCTCGGATGGAGCAAACGTCCTAGCGACATAACTGGAGAAATCCCCTGGGTATCAATACGTTTAAACTTATTCTTCCTTCCTCCACCGCTCCAATGTTTTCTTTTGTGTATACTCACCGGGAATAAAAAGATTTGTTTTGGTTACCTTAGAGTCATTCATATGGAGCAGGTCGTCCTCACAAAAACAGCCCAGAACCGAAAAACCAAACAAAGGGCCTGGAGAAATTCAGCTGGGTACAATCTGCAGCTTTACTGTTACATATCAGCACATCCTACATACCAGCCCTTTAACTTTTAAGTAACTTTTGAAGTAAATCTTGTGGGTTCCCATATATATTGGTTCGCCATTACACAGATATACACGGGATACACTGGGTGGACTCCATGTAAAAAGGACTGATTGGATACATAGAAGATGTCAGATACTAAGTCCTACAGCTAAAATGATGCATGCATGATTCTTTCTCTCCGAACAGGCATCTGCAAATGGTGCTGTATGCAAATAAGGAAAGGCGAACAGAGCGTGTGTGTGTGTGGGTGTGTGTTCTTTCCTTCCATAAAACAGTCCCTCTTTTCATTCCCCGGCTTTAAGAGTAACCTTGTCCCTGGGTGAGGTCCAACTTTTACACTCAGCCCGCACTGCTCAATGCACCCTATTGTAGTTTCAAGGAACCCTTTCACGATCACCTCAAAAAAATTCCCCATGGAATTATTTTCTGTGTAAATATTTCTTCACTCGCCTCCTTTCTCTCTTACTCTCTATTTTTAGTTTCTACTGTGTTCACAAATTAAGAGTCCAGCCGAGGACGAGGACTGGTGTTGATGCACCACGTGAAGGTTCCTGCAATTAGCTTTTGAAGGTACTCTGCGTTTCCCTATAACGTATGCAAAAGACTTGGTTTTTTCTGCCTCTCGGTTTTCCAACTTCCAAATATCCCCCCGGCCCGTGCAGCGCAGCTGACCCTCCGGTAACCTCAAACCATCTCTCCAACATCAGCCGAGAATATTTACAGTCAGCAGTTACGACCATGAAATGAAGTCTTTAAAAAATAAGCTGAAAAAACGCAAATAATAATTTCGAAATCTCAAGCTTTTGTTATTGCGCCGCATTCCGTTTCTGTGATGTGGCTGCGTGCTAATCAACCAGCGGCGAGGAGTTTCAAGCGGGGAACTGAAACAGCACAGAGTTAAAGAGAAGAGACGGAGGAGAAGAGCTGAGTAGAGAAAACACACCACCACTTTGTTTTTGGAACCTGGTTCTCTGGCTCCAGTTTTTGGCCCTCCGCTTGTTTCCCCACAGCACTCGCTCCAACTCCCCTGCCGCACACATCCCACCTTCCCTCCCTCTCCGTCCCTCTCAAGTACTCACAACGGACCCGTGGTGCCTACAGCTGCCAGCCAATGCCAGCGTGGTGAAGGACGACAAGTGAGAAATCGAAAAGGAAGGAAAAAAGGAAGAATTTGACTTTAGTTAGTTCTCATTGGCGGCACACATGCAACTCATTTCGTGTGCTGTTGAATAGATCATTGGATAAAAAAAACGAACCGCAGTGTGATTTCCCTATTGCAAATATTTTCTTCCATCTTAATCTTCTCATTTGTGTCTTTTTCCGTCATTCTCTCCCCCCTCAGCAGAACATGAACTGACCCACCTCATCATTATTTTGTACACTGGAATTGGAAAATGTAAACTGGTGGGTAAGTAATACATCCATGTGAATATGGCTCCCTGCGGCCTTAACAAGATGCAGTAGGCAACTGCCTTGGGCTCATTGATTGTTTAAGGGAGGCGCTTATATGTACATTTGGTTGTAGGCTGAGTGAAGGTATCAGGTTTGTATTCAACAAGTGTCCAGCTGCAGAGAAACCTGATCTCAACTCTCAACTCTGCTAAATGACATGTAATGTAACTCAAGATCTGAAAACTTAAGTCTCACTTGTCTGTGGGCGTAAATGTTTCAATAAAGCCAAAAACTACAATGAGCCTCATGGATCATGTCATATCGCTAAGGTTATTATTAGACAAGAATCTGCTTCATCTTCAAATAATTGATGACACGTTCAGTCTATGAAATAAAAAAAATAGGTAAAATAAACTCCCATACAACTTGCCATCGACCAAGTTGATGACTTCACATTATTTGTTTCGGGCCAAAATTCAAACATATTCAATATATTATAAAAGCAGAAAATCCTCACATCTAAAATTTTTACTAAATAATGTGAATATTTGAGGAGAATGGGTTTATTAAAAGAAAGCAAAAATGTATTTCTGAATACCATTTGGCAGATTAGAAATCCTGAAACCCGTGGCCGAATCTCAAATTAGTATGTGGAAAATCTCCTTCATAGTAAACTATGTTAAGACGAAAACAGATCCAAGAACAGTGCAGTCTTCCATTCTCTGGTGTAAAATAATGTTTTTTTCTTAATACTCACTGATGCCCCCCTAAAAATATTCTGAACCTGATGTGAATTATATTCAGAATATCGATCATTTCATAAAAAATGATTTAGTGCCACAAAAAAGCTTTGGGTGAGTTATGCTCAAGTAGTTTTTTAAAAGTATAAATAAAGTTGAGCTTCACGAGCAACAAGTGTTAAACGCCTCAAAACAAAATACAAGCATAAATGTGGAAACCAGAACTGGAAAGTGTTTATCCGACCAATGCTGCAAGATAAGAGGGAGAGGATGGAAAGAATTACACAGAATTAAAGAGGCGGAGCCGGGATGAAACGTGAGGGGAGAGGGGGCTGTAGGGAGGGGGGGGGCGCGCTGCTGCCGGCTGAGTAAAACCAGGGCCACATGCTGTGAAATGCTTCCCCGTGTTTAGAAACGGGTTGTGAAGGTGTTGCGTTTTTTTTTCTTCTTTTTTGTGTTTGTGTGTGTTGCCGGAAAGTAGCTGAAGCGCGCAACTCGTTTCAAATAGAATGGAGGGAAAGATCTTCAAGGCTGGCCGACGAAGCTCTTGGCCCGATGGTATCGTTTTCGCACTAATCGAGTCCAGTTGTTCTAGCGCTAGCACACGTGCGATTAGCTACAGCGCTCTCCAATTTTACTGGCGGGGGGGGACACGTTTTCCTGGCTTGTCGTTAGACTGGATTAAAAGTAGCTCAAAACACTTGGCTGCAAATGCACGATTCACTGATGAGAGGAATTGAACTTCTAGAGTTGAAGTCTCTCTGGGATGAGTGCTGCGACATCAGTAAGTCAGCTTGCCCTTTAGGAAAGGTTGCTATTCTCTCATGGCCTTTGTAAGAAAACAGCTGTGATTAGAAGTGATGAGGGTCTGAGGTGCTGTTTGTAGTGCAAGTAGTAAAAAAAAAAAACAGAGAGAGCGGTGAATTCCAGCAATGGTCACCAACAGTTACAGTTGCCATGCGCCTCAGCCATTCACACAGTGCTGTCTCGGTTGTCGGGGGGCCAACAAGCTCAACCCTTCCAACCCAAACCATCTCCAGACAAAATGAACCATCGTTCACCTTTTGTGACACACTTTCACTCGTTAAGATTTGACAAATAGGAAGGTTTGTGACATTAAAAAAATAACAAGGTTCAGGTCAGGTGAACAGATGCAGAGTGATAAAAAACAAAACAAAACATGGTTGTAATTACGGCTTTTTGACAATGTAAATATTTCTAATAAGAACCCAACAAGGCATCCGCAGCATGAACTAATTTATGGCCAACGGAGGTAAAATTACGCCCTGAATCTCCCATCTCAACAACTAAAATAAGGCAAAACACACTCATGCTTCTACACTTCTGGACATAACGGCTTGTTTGACTTGGAAACCATCGTTTCATATTTCCTCTCTCTCCGTCCAGTCTCTTAATTCCCCCATTTCTCATTTCTCCCATGCAGCGACGTTTAAGAATAAATAAAACCTGTAGCACTAACATAACAGCAGAAGCGCAGCGTTCATAACTTAAGAACAGCATGCTGACAGGGCCTCTGATACGTCCCCCTTAAGACCCCGGCAGACATTCATCAAACACTGCTGTGTACACAACCCGCGCTAACTTTTAAACCCCACTTGCATCGTGGCTGCACGGTGTATACACATCTGCAAATTCCATGTTGTTTGCGGCT